AAAAAAATAATAAATGATCTCAAATTGATCATCTGGCGACCGTGGCAATCATGAAGCTCTAATATATAAAACACGAGTCGAAACATATTGAAATATTGAGATTTCCAATGTATCTACCTACATCTCTGGAAATTATTCACTCCATTTGTGTATCAAATTTGATTTAAATCCGTTCAACCGTTTAAAAGTAATTAAGTAACAAACATCCAAACATCTTTACAAGCGTTTACTATTATAATATCAGTATAATAAAGAAACCACGATTTTTTGATGAGACGTAAAAAAAGATATAAAATTGATTATACCAGCAGCTGCTACTAATTAACAGACGCGTGGACAGTCAATTACGTACCATCTTGTTATATTACGCTTGAATGCATTGTACAATGTTCTTACAGGCAGACGAAGACAGATGCGATGCTGACAATGTGTTTTTGGCGTGACTACTTTGTTTTAGTACTTATTACAAACTTTAAAAAAAATACTTGCAAAAAACGCTAACAGTTTTTGCATCTCTTCGGCGGTTCGCGGAATACCAATCTTTTTTTTTCTAAAGTGGCATACATTCAGATAACTGAAATATAGGGATATCTTTAAAAATAGTGTAATATTATTACTTTATTATATTTTTCTGATTTATAACGTATACTTTTTTTTAATAGGAATGGAACACCGGCAATTTTCATCAACACGACATAGTATTTGGCTACAACTATTACTCTTGAAGTACCTATAATATCTATTATTATAGGTACTTCAAGAGTTTTTACACTCGTCCATTACAGGTGACGGACCACTGAATATGTATATAATATTTATTCACACAGCTTATTTAATGGTAAAAAATTACTGCAACACCAGGGGTCTTTCGTACGCGTTGCTAACCCTGAAGACAAGAGAGAAAGAGAATATTTGTAACGGGAACTATTGGTCCTGTCAAGGTCATTGTACCTTGACAGGTATAATGACCTTGACAGGTCGAACTCAATGCAAACCTCCTTAGAAAACATTGTAGTTAATTCTTGATAAATTTGTCTTCACTAGTGTCACGCCAGCATATAGTGACAGCGCAAGCGAGTTTTCTATTACTATTATTCTTTTACTACACATTAAAAAACCGTAAAAACACCTTAATACACCCTTTCTAAAAAAACGTATACATTATTTTTTTGGAATATCTACCCATACGCAAAATTACAGCAAACTCATTTAGACGGAACTGGTTTTAATTTAGCTTGCAGGATTTAACTTAAACTAACTGACAAACATTGAAAACATTAAAGTATGTAAAAAAAACCTGTAAAAAAGCATTATGCGAAATGTACATACGCTAAATAAATACAACCCAAAGTGAAGACAGATCGATAGACACTATACGTAGCAACGCTATCACGTCATCAACGTCGCCCGTCTGCCCTCAAACTTTCACCTTCGCGTCCTTATCTACCGCCCAGACGGAGGTTAACGAATCCACTGAACTATAATCAAAACTTAAACACCTTAACTAAATCAAACCAATTTTACTTTACCTATCCGTTTTCATAATAATCTATAATGTGTAATGAAAAATTTTGGAAAAAAATTCAGTTCTACAGCAAGTTATCTATGATAGACAATTGAACTACGAAAAATTGTATACCTATATGTCATACTAAGTATGTAAACGAAGGTATTCAGTAAGTCTTGCCAGTGATGAGTTACGGAACCGAAATATGGTCTTACAAGGAAAAGCTTAAACTTGCTCAGCGAACTATGAAGAGCGCTATGCTCGGAATTTATTTGCATGATAGAATTCAAAATAGTAATACCGACAGAAAAACCAAAGACAACCAGAAAGATAAGCAAGCTGAAATGGCAATAAGTTAGTGAGATAGTTCGAAGAACCAACAACCTAAGGGGAAGAAAGGTCTGCACGGGCAAACGCAGTGTTGGACCACCCCCCATTAGATGGAGTGGCGATCCCAAATGCATTGCAGGAAGTCGGTGGATGCAGGTGGTTTGGGTCCATTCCTTACCGTTCCGCCGTCTATGGGGTAAGCTTATAACATATTTAACAGTGGACATATAATGGCTGATATAATGGTAATAAAATATTAATACTCGTAATTTAATTATAAGTAAATATATTTAAGCTACGAATTAATGATATCAAGTCAAGTTCTTAATTGTAATTGATGTGGACGTCAAACTTTTCCAAGTATTCAAAATTCCTCGAACTGCAGTTATATAAAGAACTGATTTAGGTTTGCTTACAACCATTCCCATCCAAAACTGAAAATCGGTAAATAAAGTTGCACTATTTTGAATATTATTTGAAATACAATCTAATATTTACGACCTTTCTATCCAGCTTGTCAATTATAAAGATACTTCTTCTATATACAAGTAATATCTCACAACAGAATATTCTGCGATCCAATTTTCGAAATCCCTTCACTTAATCGTGAGTTAGTATCAAACGTCTTCACAAAATGGACTTTTATAATGTTAGTAAGATAAATAGATAGATACTCTTTACTGTTTTAAAAGATTATAATTGAAAATAAATATAAAAATACAACACACAAAGAAAATGATAAATAGTAATAAACATTTCTCTTTCTCAGCTAACTTCTATCTAGCTCTCATAAAAAATCTAGTCCGGTTTATATACATGAACGTAGAGTCATATAACGTAGGTAGAGTTTACATATACCTTGTTTCAAATTTGTGAATAATTTAGCTACTTTTACTTTTCTAGTACGTGTCTATATCTACGTCCACGATTTTGATATGCTAGCATCATATAATTACATGCATATGCATTTTATTTAAAAATATATTATTTTATTTAATATGATAAAAAATTCACTAGCAACTAATCTCCATTCAGTATGCATAAGCTCTAAATAAATTTAACAAACTCATTATTATATTAAAAACAGAAACTCACAATAGCTTCAAAGCCGCTTTTGTTACACCTGAAAATAGTACGGCCTTCCTTACAAAAATTAAAACCTTAATTTCTAATTAGTGAGCTTAATTACATAGTTTAAAGATCTTAGAAAATTATAAATATAAAAGTTAATGTATATGTATGAATGCTTACAACTCAATAAAACAACAAATATGAGAAAACCAGAAGAAAATCATATATAATATGAAAGGTCATGTGGAAAACCACTTAGGTTGTCTTTTAAAATAATTAAATTAAATAATTTAATCTTCATTAAAAATTAAAGTAATAAACCAAAAATTCGACATATCAGTAAGTTTTTGACGGTTTATGAATAACTATATCCCAATTATAAAAATTCATCATGTCGTTTTGGCTACACTTTGTGCCAAAGATCTGAACCACAGATAATATAATACTATACTAGTCTGAACATACATATTTACATACCTTCCACTAAAAAAATAATCCTCCTCATTTTTTAATCAGGTAAAATAATTCTATGTGAGCGTAATCACGACAACAACTATATACAGCTATAACAGTATAATAAACGTAATTATTTATTAAGAACAAACCCTCATGAATAATTATATCTTAATGGCTATCCCATTAAAGATGGACAGGGATCGAAAGTTCCTAAAAACAAATAGAAATTAAATCACAGTTCTGCAAATTCAAAATCTTCATGGCCACAACTGAGGTAAGGGAAAAATGAATTATTAATAATGAGACTATAGTTCCTTTGCTAGCAATATGTCCTACCAGGTCGACCTCCTCATCATCATCAACAACAGAAATCATCATGGATAATTTTGTGGAATTTATCACGATGGGCTAACTGGCCTGTTTTTAATCCTCGTCTATCATAGATGAGGATTAAAAACAGGTCAACCCTCACTAGTACCAGCGGGGTTGCCGTTACATTTTTACTCATTAAAAAAAATACCTATAGTATAAAATCTTTTGCAAATGACAGGATTTACATCCATTTTGGTCCAATACTAACTTTTCTACACGATTGAAGTGGGTATATACGAATATATTTAAAAAAAATATCTCAAGTAAATATACTCGGCTATAATCCGTAATGGAATGGCGTTGTGGTAAACATAACACTCCACATGCCTAAATTTCGCCGAGCATATTAGAAACCAACATGACAGGGGGCGACAGGAGGTGTACATTTTCTATTCATAAATTATTAACATGCGTAGTAGCTTCCACAGATTTTTCCAATACAAACTCTGCTTAGTTCGCCCGTGTCCTATAGCGAGAATGAGGCTCCCAGATATCAAAGCTACTTAACTACCAAAAAAACTTTGCTTAATTTTTTTTATACCACGAAAAGGACAAGCAAGCTTACAGACCGTTTAATATGTAGTAAACGGTAACTATAGCCTATTGATGCCGGCAACACTAAGGGTGTCCCGTGCACGTTGCCGACCCTGAAAAAACCTTATTATGCTCTTTTTGATGAACCTAATACTGTAGTCTCTAGGGTAAACCTCAGCAGGGAGCTTATTCCACAGCCTGAGAAGTTTAAGACTAAATGGTGTGTACATTATTTTCTCAATACAGAAATCGCTGTTTTTACCGAAACGAAATGTTAGCACATGTTTTCTTTTTAACTTGAAACAAGATATACCCTTTTCCTTACGTGATAGTTATTAAGTTAGAAGGCGTTACGATAGTCGTTAACTTTATTGGGTACTCCATTCGTGACCCATTTTCTTGCAAATTACGTTCAGAAAACCAGGTTACTGCAATGTCGACCTCAATAATTAACTACGGTAAGAACTTAAACAAGTTGGTAGGGGAAAATTCTAACCGGATGCTTTTTGGGGTCGATTTCCATGTACTTATTTCTAAAATCAGAATATTATTATTGTGCGTAGCCACTTAATAGTACTATAATCTTCAGTACAACTTAGTGGACTTAATAGTACTTCTTATAAATAAATTCTGATGATAGATATATTATGAATTGTAAAAAAGTAAAAGGTGATGTTATTTTTTTCCGTTTGTATTTTAAAAATAATAAAGAAGATTCATTCATACTCACATGATATTTATGTTTGATACCTTGTAGCCATCACTCGATTACCGACTCTCGGTAATCGATAGAGGAGAGGCTGCCAGCGCCGCCTCCCAGCTCGATTCCATGATTGTATACTCTAGATTAGCGAATGAGTTGTCTCTGCCTATTAATTACACTGTACTCTCTGTAAGATTATTTTAAGTTTGTCCATGTTTTTTTGTGTATTATAATATTTAATACGATTTATATGTTTACCTCCAGTAAAAGTATATTCCCACAATAAAAAACGTTTTCTTTGGCCCGTAACCCCAAGAACTCACTATAACCTATACAAAGTAAGATTTATATACCTGCGTCAGTCTAGGATACACATCTATACTGCCAGTATATTATCTGTGTCAGACACATTTAATATCCTGCTGATTTATAAATATGAAAGTCTAAATTGGCAGGATATTTATAATATAAATCAAGATAGTCAATATTCTATGAATAGAATTAAATATTCTGTATAAAATTATGCTCGCCGTAAAATTCTTCTTCATAATTACAATTTTAAACTTATAAAATATTTGCCTCGACAAATAATATAATGACAAATGTATATTTAGAAAGATAAACCAATCTGACATTTAAGGAAAAACGTTATTCTCGAGTAAGTTCAATAAAATCTTTTCTATGTCCTATCATATTATAAAATTTAAACATTTCACTCTGCATGTCTTATGTTTTATTAGAGACGGGATTTACGCAATCATGTACTTACTCGTAAATGTAATTATTGTGATGCGGGACAATGAGTGGGTAGAATAAAATACTTCAGCTTCGAAAGCGGAGACATGACAGCGCTACATCAGTCTACTCGTGACTTATGCTGATGTTACCTGGTCGAAACTTCGAGATAATTCAAGTAAATTATCATAGTTTACTAAAATGATCGCTTTCATTTCTGTCTCTTATAAATTCTTAAATCTCCAAATACTTTCATTTCTATACGTATAAACTTTTACTCATAATTTACAAATTTGATTGCAATTAAAGGATGTGCTTTTATATAAATTGTGTTGACGATTGTATTACCGATAAAATTTTTTTTCGATATTTTTCGAACTTCCACTTATTGGAAAAGTCCCTTTTCATTTTTCTAATGTACAAAGGAGAAACATTGTTAGTAGGGGTCTTCTGTCTTGAATTATTCACATAAAAGATCAAAGGCAATACATACAATTTTCTTACTAGCTGTTTCACGGGGCTTTGCTTGTACTGAATCATGGATTATGTTCCTATAAGAAAAAAAGTAAATCCGTTCTTAGTCCTTTCAAATTCGGTAAAATGTAACTACCGAAAATATCCATTTATTTAATTAACGAAGAATTGACTTTGTATAGTTGGAATTTTGAACTTTGGGCGCATTTAAAAACCTTTAGCGATACAATACTTCAAATTTTATATTATATTAGGACTTAGGCTCATAGAAATACCAAACTCATTCAAACATTTTTCGAGATATTATAAAAAACTGAAGAATAACTGACTAATAATACTGTTTTGCTACTTAATGGAATTAGTAATTCATCTATTTTTAAACGACTCCAAACATTTTTACCCTTCATTTTATGCGACATCATTGCTGATTCTAAACGAATTTTAATGACAATTAATGCAATTATTAGGGTTGGCTCTCGTATTAATCCCGTATAAATTAGGAAATAGTTAGGACACTATTGATATCAATATTTGGTAAAACAACTTAAATTCAATTCAAATAGACTTGTTTACAAACACTATTAAATTAGGAGTTAAAAATATCAGTTTATTTTGTATCTATATAACAACAAAATCGAAAAATTCATATGAGTTTACACACTAACAAACAAGCCAATATTTAAAACCTTTTATTTCGACTTCTATCTATTCGAATAAGCTAGTTGAATGCCAATTCAGCTAATATAGTTATGTTATTACAAAAAAGAATAGCAATCATGAAATAGCTATTGATCTTAACATTATCTGGGAATAAAACGAAAAAAGGCCGCCCTCCTGTATTTATATAGTGCCATTATGAACATTTAGAGATCTGAAAGAAACCCTAGTATACAAAAAACAACCCTTCATGAAACATCTAGTACACAAAGGGAATAGAATAAACAGAAATTGTATAATAAAAACAAATGATAAAATATTAAATGTAATGATACTTACTCATGTTTTGTTCATCATGATTTCATTAAAAATTATAGATTACCTATTGCTATTGTGAGATTTGGGCGTCACTACAGTGACTATGCCGTCGATGTAGGTGGACCACCCATTACGATTTTGAGAAGGGTGGCATTAATTTTAAACATAACAGGATTTTTTTTCACATAAACTGAAGCGCAGATCGAAAAGATAGAAATTTCGAAAAATGGCAAGTATTGCTTTTTAGTAACATTTCTTTACAGATTTATTATTAATTTTCATTATTTCCTTTCCATTTTAATTTTTATTTAGTGTAAATATAATGCGGATATCATTTAATTAATAAATTTTAACGTCATTCTTTTGTAATATAGTTTTTAATGTAATCCAGTCTGATTTTAGAAATATTCTATACTCTATTTTTTTCCAGAATCTACTTTAATGATTCAGCTTATTTTTATATATGATTTTTGCAAGGTAAGTTGCAAAGAATATTTTATATAAAATAATTAAATACCGACCGTCCTCGCCCCGCACTTCTTTTTTTGAAAATACAACTCATGTCCATACCTATAAAAAGGTACATTACCAATATAATCGCTTTCTATTCTATTATATATAAAATAGTTTTTAACTGTTAGTTTTTAACTGATTGAATGGAGGCATGTGCGCGGACGCTTTTTCCTGTAAAATAAATGTAATTTGTGTGTTTTAAACTGTATGTGCCTTGAAGAACCTATAAGAATTTGTGTGTACGTGCATATAGGAGTTGAGGAAGAATTGCCGATCACCTACAGCAAAAAAATTGACGAAGCCGATGCCAGGTTAGTCCTCCTCGACAGACAGAATCTTTTCCTAAATAAAACGCTTCCACTACGGTGTTTTACCTTACAAACAGGAATCATACCAAGATTAATTCATTAATTAGTAAAACTATTACTATGAACGCATCTTCAATATCAATTTATAGTTTTACAACATCTAAAATAGCTTAAAATTAACATATTGAAATCCTTTTCGTTTCTACTCTGTATTTGCACCTCTAAAATACATATAACATTTACAGTATAATGTACCATTAAATATTTCAACACAAATAAACCCTTTCAATTTACAAACTTGATAACATCGTCATTTTAACGATATGTCTCATAAATGTAAACGTTATAGGTAGACACCCTGTCATAAATTTTAGTTTGATGACTACAGACACGCTATGTCAGGATACGTATGTCATCACAATTTCTATTACTATTTTATATTAGGCCCCCAAATAACTATTTACTATCATTTGGTAATCGAGAACAAAGTGAAATCTTTGTAACGAATTTCTAAATCGTTCTGCTTTAAATTATATGTAATAATAAAAATATAAGTATGTATACGTAATGACCCTCTATAGCTCTTTACTATTAGCAGAGCCAATGTCTTTCGACATAGACCTCATAATTTTTTGATGACATTTCATCTCTTTTCTTATATCCTAAATTTTATCTACCGAAAGCTGTCCAAATCGGTCCAATAAATTTAGCCATGAAACCGTGACATACTAACAGATTTTCTCTATGTTTTTCTAGTATTTTTCTTCTATTTCATCATCTATAATTATCATATATTATTATTTTTACCGTATCTAAACTATTTTATCTTGTAATTATTTGTATTTATAATAAGTTTGATAATGTAATCTCTTGGAGGAAACAATAAAGAGTATTTGTTATCTATTTTTCTTTATTTTAATACTTTTTAAAAATACTTTTAAAAATAATAAATACATTTTTACTTAACAGTAATATTTAACAATAAAACATTAAAATATACATTTTACAATTTGCTAGATTCCATTACTGTCTTTTATTTGTAAATATACCTACTATTTGTATATACAATACATTTTATTATAAATGCTTATTACAATCGAAGAGCTAAAATTTACGAAATAAGATCACAGGTAAATATCATATAATAAAATAAAGATTATAGAAAAAAAACAAATATTTGCACTTACAAAAATATGTAATAACAGTTTAAAACAGATGGAAAATAGAATATACATCAAAAATTATTTTGTTCCCATAGCGACTAATACGACAACAAAGGGATTACGGAAAGTTACCCCAGCTTGTTTACTTGCCACAAATTTCCCCTAGCTACTTATAGAACGTAGTTGATTGAACCAACTACATACATTAATAATTATAAACTTCCCCCTATCGCACTTTTCTACGTCAAATTTTTTCTCTATACATATAAATTTATCTCAGAATCTGGTATATTGATTTTGATACAATTTCCATTGACAGAATATATTATGATGAAGTTTAATTGTATATAATTTAGTATGTTGTATACATATTATATATTGGGGGGAAAGGGATTGTTAGTAATAGAGACTGAGAATCCCATTGCTAGCAATATACCCAACCAGGTCGACCTCCTCGCGGTTCCCCCTGGAAACTATCATCGTTAATTCCTGATGAATTCATCATGATGGGCTAACTGGCCTGTTTTCATTCTCATCGATCACCCTTTACTGGTGCTCCGCCAGCGCATCCCGTTAGCGCAGGCGGGGTTACCATACCATTTTCACCCATCAAAACATATATTGTATATAATATAGTTTATTATATATATAATCTTGTCATAGCTAATTTATAAATAAACGAAGATAATATTATTATATTTCTCATCAAGTCATTTGATTTGGCCGAGAAATATAATATTTACATTCGATATTATAGCATTATTTTATTTAATCTTTATTAAAAAAAAACTAGGTTATTATTCGCTTTTAATGTACCTATATTAATAAGCTTTATTGTATTGGCATACTCTTTTTTTAATATTGAATTACAATAATAAGTAATACAGTAATTAGGTCAATTTGTAACTTACAATCGCTACTAAGCCAAGTTCAACCTGAGCCCACAGGATTTGTGGCCTTAATTACTGAATACCGGACCACCCAGGTAGAGGACGCAGCTTAAACACGCCCATTAGTCGCTTCTAATGTCCAATTAAAGGAATTATGTGCGTTACACGAGTATACGAGATGGAGTTATATATATTAGAACAGGTAACTAATTGCTGCTGAAGAAACTTTTCTATTTGTTATCCCTATGTGACTCATTGCAATATAACAATATCCTGCTAATATTAAACTATTTTGATATTTGTCACGCAT